CATCAAAATCTCTCTTTTTCAACCACAAAATCAAAGATTTTTTCGTATCGATATCTCTGTTTTTCCCTTTTTTTGTCTTTAGCAGAACAATGGATATTCTAATCATCACCACCAACATAATGGGTATCAGAACCAAGTGAATCCCAATCAATTTGGAATAATGAATCCACAGATGATGAATAATCCGATGATGGGTCACATGAATAATCACATTCCAATGCCTAATATGCCAATACATCCCCAGTTCTTTAACAACAATATGCCTCAACAACAACAACTTCACCAGTTTGGTTTGCCCAATATCAACCACTTGCTTCCAACCCTCTTGGGGAATCTTCAGTTTGCAGTTGCTAATAACAACCTTATGGGTCACTCACTTCCCTTAGTTCAACCCAATTTTTTCCGACCGCCTCTTGAACCTTCTGCTTTCACTTCTCGGCCACAGCTTAATTCCTTTAAACCCCAAAGTTATCCTCCGGCTCCAAATCCCCATCAAACCCACCAATTGCAGCGGCCTCCCGGTTTCGCACCGCCACGACCACAGTTGAAGGTGATACTTCTTGTTTCACTCTGCAGAATTGTCTTAAGCTGTTTTCCTGTACTTGTTGTTCTTTTAGTTATAACTTTGAGCTTCTTGCAGGGGCAGTCTGGAGGAATTGTGAACAACAACAATGGTTCCAATTCTAATGGGAATGATTTTCGAAACAAATTTACAAAACATCAGAAATTCAAAGGCACTGGTCAAGGGTATGTTCCTCCTACGTACTTGCTCGCCTTTTTGATTATTTGCATGACACAATCTTGGTTTATATGTATTCTGAATTATTGTAGATTCCAGAGATCCCAGTCGCACCAAGCAAATAATGCAAAGAAAAAGTTTGGGTTCAATAAGGATCGCATGGGTAAAGGTTAGTCCCATTTCCATCTAATCACATTTCTGATGTGTAATTGTAAGACTTTTGGTCACACTTCGAAGTCTTTCAGTTTCCTTGGAATGCCGTATTGTCATTAGTGTAAAGAATGTTGTGAGTATTAGTTGGTATTTCTACACTTTGTTGTTGATTGATTTACTACAATATATCAGTTAAAGTCTATAGTGTTGTGTATAGTCCTATGTTTTGCAAATATTTATGTATGCTTTACCCCAAATTTCCTTGTTGGTTAACAAGGTGTTTTTCTTTTAATATTTAATTTTTGATCTCTGCATTGATGACTTTAATTCAGGGAGCTACAATAAGATGGCAAGTGGGCTTGATGGTAACATAGCTAAGGAGAAGATAAGGTATTGCGAGGTCTCAATATCGTAGCACTTTACTGTTTGGGTCACTAATTTTCTTTTGGTCACTCCAAATATTTCCTATGAGTGTTTATGGTCATCTTCTGGATTGCTGAAAATCTTTTGGTCTATCACTTTTTTTCAAGTTGATGTCAGCCCACGAGGTTTAGTCTCCAATATTGTTCTTTTGATGTTATTTTTTTTTCAGGATTAGGTCATATGCTTTGCTCTATACCAAAAAAGAAATCCAGCAATGGCGTGAATCTCGGCGTAAGAATTATCCAACAAAACTCAATGTTAAAAAGGTTAGAGTAACTTCCAGCTCCTTTAATTTGCAAAATTCACTCTTTCGGGG